ACGCTGCATATACCTCCTAGTTGATAAGATGTGTCCGACAGTGGGTGGACTGGCAAGGTAGTCTCTAGATCAGTGTTCCTCAACCTTGGCAGCGTTCAGATGTGTGGACTTCAACTCCCAGAATTCCCCAGCCAGCATGGGGAATAGTATAGTAGGGACGTGCAGTGCTTTGGATCCAAACAGAAAACATGATCTCCAAAAATGTGGTTGAGGGAGAGACACTGACAGGGTGGGGCAACTGCTTTGGAGCAGGCCACACCTATCAGCAGCTCCTAAAGAAATTGTGTCTTTAGTTGCACTATCCCAGGAAAATGCATATCTCAGATAGAGCTCCAACAGCATGTCTGTTCCTTCTCCAGAGCAATTGATCTACCCTGTCCGTGTCTCCTTTCCTCAGTCTCATTTTCTGGGGATCAGACAGCTCTGTTGCGAGCCCAAGAAATGACACTGTTTCTTTAAGGAGGCACTGACAGATACTCCTGTCTGGAAGCATGCCGGAGAAATATGGAGGGGACGTGGACCAGTTGAGAACCTTCCTTGCACGGTGCGGGTTATTCATGGACGGCAGACCTGCAGAGTTCCATACAGACCCCACAAAGGTGTCCTTTGTGTTAAGCTTGCTGAAGGGATTGGCTGCAAAATAGGCTACCCCCATGATAGAAGCCAATGACCCGGTGCTCAACAACTATCAGAATTTTGTCAGGGCCTTTAGAGGGCATTTTGGAGCTCCTATCCAGAGAGTCACAGGCAGTTGGGAGAGTCGGAAACTCAAACAGGGCAAGAGGAGAGGAAGATTATCCATGGCGGATTCTAAGCTGTTTTGCAGGAGGAGTCGCCTGAGCTGGAAGACTTGCCAGGTGCTCGGAGGGAAACAGCACACCTGTGCTTTCATCGTTACCACTTCTACCCAGTTCCCCTGAGATCTCTGAGGGGGAGCCTGACTTTGGGGGGGGTTATAATGGAAGGCATGTGCGAGGAGGATACTGGAATGGAAGATCAAGGCTATCAGAGGGAAGGAGTGCATTCCAGGAGAGGGTACAGGGAGAGCCCGTTCTCAGCCTGCAGCAGGACCGTGCGTAGAAGAAGAAGAAGAAGAAGAAGAAGAAGAAGAAGAAAAGAAGAAGAAGAAGCTGGAGCTAGCCCCTCCGTAGAGGTTCGCGGGGTATATCCACTAGCTGTTTTGGCATAGGCTTAGTCTGGTGAGATTTAGGGCATAAGCTAATAAAGGAACTATACTGGACTGGACTGCCTCATCGTTCTTGGGTTGGGCCTGACACAACTCCATTGCCAGGACAACTGAATAAATTGAGCAATGATGAAGTTAGAGAGCTATTCTGATCCATCGAGTTAGACAACAGAAGGCAGCACATCAGAATGAATGGAGGAATATATTTATATATTAGATATAAGGTCTCACAACATATGCATCAGAACTTTTGAACTTGTTCCTATATTACTTCAATTTAAGGTATTTACAGCCATGATTGTGAATGGCACCCAGTGATTTATACTGGCAGTTCCAGTTTCTGGAACTCCTTTACCATCAGCAGCTATAACAGGCCTTTGCTTTTTCTTGTGTGGGGTGTGTGTGTATGTATTTTTCTTCCAGCTCTGCCTCAGTGTTGCATGTAAGTGTGTTTGTGATAAGCTCAGTGTGGGCTGTGTATGTTCCACTCTGAGTCACATGACCAGGAGGGAGGAGGCTTAGAATGGAGCGTTTGGCAGCATTCTGAGCCCCACCCCAATGCCCCTCCCATAGGGATTTTCTAGGGTTCTTTTCTCTGCAGCCCCCAGTCAGATCCAGCCTTTCAACTCAATCTTCATTTTTTCTGTCGGCTCTCATCACA